GGACAACTAGACAGAAATTACTGCAAATGGATTTAGATCACTAGAATCCCTATTTTTATTAACTCTTTGAACTCTAGATATTTATTGTGGTAAGAAATTACCCATGACAGGTTACGTAGTCAGAAAGATTTATTTAGAACCTTTGCTACGTTTTGGGAAGAGCGAAGAAACCAATAAAATTTACTGAATTATATCAGCTAATGCAAAATTATGTATCAGCTGAATAGCATACAATAACAATATGCATCTAAATAGCTTAATTGATCTGTGAATATTTTTAAAATACCAGACTTTTTAAAAACAATGCTCTCCTGTGTCTTTTTTCATTGCATTCCCTCATTTTATGCCTGCAAACTGACATAACTTCTGGGGAAGATTTTTTATGTTGTTATTTTTGAAGTTTTCCTTCATGTCTTGATTTACACTGGCTGACTCAATGTTTGTAGTTTAGGAAGATAGTATTTTGAGATTTGTGTTTCATGAATATTTGTAGCTCGAAATGCAAACTTCTCAAAATCATGGTAACTTCAAACAAGCATTCCTTTGCATAGACCTGGCTTTTCATTGACCTTTTACCACTAGTGCCACTGAAGGTGCAATAGGAGTTTTAAGGATCCACTTATCAACTATTCTGTCTGTCAAGTGGAAGGCAGATTGGTAGACAGAAGGTCCTCTGTGTCCCATCCCCTGGTGTAAATACCATCACTGAGATATATTTTTTACTCTGCTAATTTCTGAGTCTCCTTCTCCCTCTCTTCAGGGTGAATTTAACAATGATCCTTCTAAAGTCTGAAGCTGGTGATTTGTAAAAAGCTATGTCATATGGCAAATTACACTGTACATAAAAATGAATGAAAAGTAGCAGATGCTGTCAGAAAAGTATGCAATCTTAATCTCTGATCTAAAGACCACAGAGGTTGATAAAAACATTTATTTTGGCTTCCGTGTGATGAACATGTGACAAAATATAATAAGGCCAAAGTATATATAGGAGTAAATTAAGTTATGCACTGTTTAGGAATAATTCTACTAGCTAGTTTGGGGAGATTAAAATAATATTTTACACATCTGCAACTAAAACTTAAGCAATGTAGCAATACAGAAGGTAAAATCATTGTCCTTCATTTGGACTTTTAGGAGCTGCAAGGCTGTAAAGCTGGTAGGAGAATGCTTTCCAAACAAGTAATAAACTATGCAAAGAAGAAACAGTAATCTGTTCTCTGTATCCATGATGGATTGATAGCTAGGACAAGGGAAAACAGGCTTAGATTGTGTAACAAAAGATTCAGGCCAGGTGTTAGGTAAAACTTCCTCAGATGAAGAATACTGAAGTCAGTTGATGGAAGGATTGTGGAGTTGCTGTCACTCAAATTCTGGGACAACATGGTAGACAGATATCTGGCAGGAAAGATGGTTCATTCCATAAACCTCTTCTGGAATGGAGAAATGGGCAAGGTCACCTCTCCAAATGTGACCCTGAAACAGTTAGATGTTTGAGGTGTCTGTTCCCTCTCCTTAACAGGAAAAGCAACAAAAGAGCTGTCTCTCTCTAGCCGTATTTATTAGAATATGAACTGGCACAAACCCACTTACGAAAAAAAGAAAACCCAAACTCTGGCTGAGAAAAATGTAAATAGGTTTTGAAAATAAATCTAGCCCTTGCTAAGTGTTATCCTTTCCTTCATCCTTGTGTTCATTCTTGCAGCTTTCAGTGGCTTGGTTAAAGCAAATCCCTCTGGGCCCCAGCTGTCATCTTGCTGTCTCTGCTGAGGTTCACTCCTGTCTGCTCCTTCCCTTTCCCAGCAACCTCCCAGGCTCCATCTTTGCTGCCTGCTCTGTCCTTGCTAATCCTTCCTTCTCTCTGCTTCTCCCAGCTTGTGCTTCTCCTAGTGACGGGAGGAGCCCTGGGGAAGGGAGTATCGTTTCCATCCTCACCTGGTGGCTGCCATTGGCATGAGGTAGAGGGGACAGCTTCTTCATTTTTTCACAGCAGAATAAACAGTGAACACATAAAACCAAACCTTTCTATCACACTTCCCTAGATTAGTTGTATTTTCTATGCTTCTTCATTTTTTCACAGCAGAATAAACAGTGAACACATAAAACCAAACCTTTCTATCACACTTTCCTAGATTAGTTGTATTTTCTATGCTTCTAACTAGCCAAATACACATTTTGAAGATTTTTCCAAATGTTAGCAAGTTCATACTTATGGGGTGCCACAAGTTTTCATAATGGGTTTGTGTTTTAGTATATATTCATTCATTCTCTAGAAATGAGAAGGGAATGGATTTATCTGGGCTATTTTTAAGTGCTGTGGTTTCTTAGTCTAGTCAACAGTGGAGACAGCAAAATTGCGAGAGGAATATCAAATGCTACCAAAAAAACCTGAATGGTTAATGCGAAGTATGGGAAATATGTAAGTATCTGGGAAAGGTCACATGTGACATTGTTTGTATCTCAAGAAAAGGTTCAATTCATGCTAAATAGTACTCTAATAAGCAAACAAAATTGTAGGCTGCACTAAAAATAACATCGAAGAGAATGCTGAGACTATAACACAGTGGGTTTATTAAATTTTTTTGAAATACAGTTGTTAGTTTCGTTACTTTGACTAAAAAAAAACAATACCAGGAGACGTGTAACTGAAATGATTAGGGTTCTAGAGAGAGTGTTATTTGAAGAGGATTTAGAAGTCTGGCACTGGTTAGTTTCCAGAGCACAGGAATAAGACAGGTCGAACTAAACATATACAACACAATAAATCTTATGAAGAAAGTTAATCGCATGCTTTCTATTTATTCTATTTCTGTGTTCTGCTATAGCAGACAAAGGAACATTAAATTACACTGAAAGCGAATAGCAACAAAGATAAAATTACTAAATGGAAATACCATTAAAAATATTCAGTGACTTAGATCCCTTTGTTTCAGATACCCCTGAAGTCAGAAGGTTAGTAGAATTCAGTTAAACACTAGATATGTCTCTGGGTAGCACAAATCTTTCAGATACATTAGATGTAAAAGTACACAGTTAGATTCTAGGACATTTAAAACTTAAAAAGGAAATTTAAGAGTTAACGTATCTTTGATGGAATCAAAAACTTGCTTGCTATTTGACATTACAGGTTAGTACACCACCATGTTGCATAAAAAATGGTAATAATTAAAAACAGTGGTATGTGTTTCAAGGCTTTTACACAAAATAGAAATAAACTTTGCTTACTTTTTTGTTTAATAAATTCTGTTTCATTTGAATATTGACTTTTAATTTAATTTTGACTTAATAATACTTCATCGTGCTGAGATCCCTATGAATTTTTCCTTTTTTTAAGGCAATGCTCTTAGTTTGTCAGTGATTTGTATGGTAGCATACGTTGGGTTGTGGCCAGCTCCTAGTCCCAAGTTAGTAGGAGTTTGCTGAGCTCTAGAAAGATTAATGTCTAGTTTTCTCCAACTGTGGGGATTGTTCATTCTTCTTTGGGCTCCATTAGAGAAAACCAAAGGGCTTCCTTGGGAACCTGAGAGTCAGTGAATCCTGTTTAGGGGAAAGGGGAGAAGTTTGCTTTTAGAAATACTCTGAGTAAATTAGAGGTATATAATCAAACTTAAAATTGTCAGTAAAATAATCTTTTTTCTTTTAACTTTATAGGATATTCAAGATTGCTTTTAGTTTGGCTTAGCTCTAGCTGCTGTTTTATTATTTACTGCATGTAATATTTTAAAATTTTTGGGGGGCTTTTTGAAATTACAGCTCATTTCATAATGAGCTATTCAAGCTCAGGCGTGTCTCGCTTGGTTAGTGTTTGGTACTGGTTACATATTGATTGGTGTTGCATTTTAGTCTAATCTGAATTCAGACTGTTTGCAGTATATTAAAAATGATGTAAAGCCGCAAGTAAATTGCCTCTCTAAACATACTTAAGATTGTAACATAAATATTCTCTTTATTTTTTTTAATGAATAAATTTGAAAGGACCATCTATGCTTTAACTGCTCTATTCTCTATGGAGTTGCAGATCAGATTTAATTAGATAAGTTTGTGTCTGCAGTGATTTTTTTTTATGCTTCGCATGTCTGCAGCCTTTGAAAGGATCACAAAGACTCCGGTTTCAGGTGCTGTGTCATCAGTTTTGATCATGTTACACAACTGAATGCCATAATGCTTTTAACAATGTAATTTAGTGTATTTAATCCATATCTGGATATTAGAAAAGAGATAGCAGGCTTTAAAGCTTTTTTGTTATTGCAGTTCAATACTTACTGCTAAAATAATAGACAGCAACAAATGGCGATATTTATTATGTCAAAATGCATTTCTATTTAGCTATCCTGGGAATTGGGAAAAACTTCACACCCTAACTTTTCTATAACATATCAATACACTGCAGATGGTCTTTGCTACTCAGTTATTGATCTTTCACAGTTTAAATATCATGTTTTTCTTTTTTAAGGACATGTGTTGTACTGACATTTTTCTCTACATGTATTTTTGATTTTTTCTTACAGAGGAAAAATTCATTCACCCTGAATTCTTTTTCCTTATATAGGAAATCAAATTGCCACCTTTTCTTAGGCAATTAAAGAATGTAGAGAAAATAAAATCAAGACAGTGTTATATCAGCAATTTTCCCCCCCTTTTAAGTAGTTTAGTTAAATAGTGATTAAAAAATCCAACATATTTATAGTATTGAAGGCTTAGCATACAGTTTCTTGTACCTGTTATTCTGAAGAGGTCTCCTTTATTGAGATGCACTGCTTTTCCAAAGTCATGCTTTTCATAAAAACAGATATGGGAAAAATAAAGATTGAATATTTCATTATGAAAAATATGTTTGACCATAAGTACAAGAAAACAGATTATAAAATGTCTTAAATGGGTGCACAGAAACATAAACAAAACCAGGAATGCTGCGTACTACAACAGAGCGTGATTCTAGCAGCACCATTTAGCATTTCTGTATAAATGTAAAGTCTCGTTGTGTGTTTTCTCCTTGCTAGGAGTTAATTCCAGAGTTTTACTACCTACCAGAGATGTTTGTCAACAGTAATGGCTATAATCTAGGAGTCAGAGAAGATGAAGTTGTTGTGAATGATGTTGATCTCCCGCCATGGGCCAAGAAGCCTGAAGACTTCGTCCGTATCAACAGGATGGTAAGCTGCACTTTAGTTTAGCCTAAGTAAGGAGTTCTGTTTTTTAACAAGCGAACCTAATGCTTGTTTTCATCTCTGTAGAATTAGATTTATAGAAATAAATAAAAAGTGAAGGAAAATTTGCATTCTGTCTTGCTTGACAGAACCCTTTATTTTACAGTGGATTTTCCTTCCATGTGCCCAAATTATGGAAAATGAAATTCAGTTATTTAGTCTCTCATGAGAAAGCATCAGATGGGCATAAGCTGGACAATACAGGATAGCCTGAAAAATTTAAGTCTGTTCATCCTCACCACCTTTTGCATAAAAAAATTAAAGGTTATAATAAATGCTGGTATCTTGCAAGATATATTATATTCCTTACTTGACTGCAGCTATGCACTTCCTGTTCATCAGAGATGAACTGGAAGTGTAGAAATGTGATCATAAGCCAACAACTGCAGTCTCTGAAGAAATTTTGCAAAAGAACTGCTCTGATGCAAATCACCATGAAGTCTGCAGAATTTAAGCATGAAGAACATTTATCTATGTTGTATATTTTTTGCTTTAATTTGATAGATAATGATTTTATTAATGATAGAGTTAATATGTATGTATGCTTCTAGTAATTTTTAGGAAAAGCAAGATATATTCTGATGTTTTGGCCAGCAATAGTTCAATTTATGGTTCTGTTCTGGAAATGGATCTTCCTTAAAATGCATATTGCTTGTCTTGCTTATAGAGTCAGGACCATACTTTCCATAAGCTATGGGTTTCTATACAGTTGCAAAACTGTTGAGTTTGTACATTATTCTCTATAGTGCTTTTGTGGTAGCACTGTAAGTCTAGCAGTGTTGGTTTTCTTCTAATCAGTTTGGCAATTTAATTTCAAGAACTGTCTATTTAAAGAAAATTGTTCTTCAGGAGTTGGTAGAAAAAATAGCCATATGAAGTTCAAACGAATAGAAGAATATTATAAAAACAAACGTATTCCTAGATGTATATGATTTAGAAGTGTCCTCCATTTAGAAGAGTAAATGGTTTGACATATGTGCAGGAGTCTTCTAAGGAAGTGATGCCAACCTCATCACTTGAGACATATGAAATGCACTACACAAGGCATGAGAAATGTGTTCCAGGGAGTCGGCCTTCACTGGCAGGAAGAGGCTGAACAACATTTTCCTTCTTTTTCTTGGCTGATTTCTCTTATAGCTGCATATATTATAATATTCTTCCTAAAAAAAAGTAATTGTCACAGCTGGTGGCAATAAATTCAAGTGCAATTTTACTAGCAAAGAAGGAGGTGGACTCACAGGATCACTACCCTCTGTTAACATTCTCAAGTGTGGGATGTGCAGTCACAGGTATGTGTCTCCAGGGTGCCCACGTCACTGCACCGAGCCTTTTTTTGGACTGTGGTTGTGGCTAAACCTGAACTGGACCCAGGAGTAAGCACACTAAAGTTGACCAAGAGGTTTAGTTTTGCCATCTGTAAGAACAGAAGTGTGATACCTTAGTGAAAAAGGATAAACAAGCTGCCACCTATTGGGGAATATAATGAGATGCATATTAATGACTCCCTTTGGGAAATTTTATAAGGAATGTTCCTTCTTGGATACTAAATTGTGTTTCTCCATCTTTCCTTTCCACAAAGATGGAATGATTACTAGGAGGATAAAGGCACTATGTGATAAGAGATCACTTGAAGAAAAGCTTTAGCTTTAGGGTTTTTTTTTCCTCTCGTGCAATTTCTGCTTTTTAGAAAATAGAATAGGATCTCTCTGCAGAAAAGTTTTGTGCTGGGATATTCACAGCTGTTGAAGAAAACAGCTGCTTTCATGAATTTAGAGTATAGAATTTATGCCCCTTCAGGACAATACTTTCAAGAAAGGCTGGTAGTTAAAGGCTGGAAATACCTTTTAAATATTAAGCTGTAATAGCACTAATGACTGATTCCATACATGTGTAAGTATGCTCAGACTGCCATGAAACAGACAAACTGATAGGCTTCAACTAATTGAGTACTTTGCCGATTTCTAAAATCAGAAATGAACTCACTTATGTATCATACCCTTCCTATACTGTTTTCCATCCTTGTCCCCACAGATGTGAGCATCATGCAGTTATTACACAGTTTTGCCTGGGGGCATTTTCTGCATGGCCTTTATTCGTCCCAGCATCTACTCTTAGCAAGAGCATGATCAGTAGTTAAAATTCATTTCTACACAGATACATGCTATCTTCAAGTGAGCAGTTCGATGAAGTTCATAGATGAAGTTCATAAATGATAATGAAGTTGGGAATTGCCTAGAAAACAGGAGAAAGAGGCATTGATTTATTTGAATTAGATGCAGAAAATGCACTGAAAATCACCTTGGGAGGAAAGAATTAAAGATATTCAATAGGAAGCAGAAATCTCAAAACAAAAATAGTACCAAAAATAGAGCAGTAGCAAGGGAAGGGTGACAACGAGCAGCAATTAGATTAGATAAAACTCTGTAATTCTATATTCACCAGAAATAGGTGTATTTTGATGCCATCTATGGAGAATCATTGCATCACAGAGGATGTAAGTAGTTGTACCTGTCTATGGTCCTTTTGAGACTGCACCTGGAATATTGGATTCACTTCTGGGCGACTAGATGACAGAAGTATTCACATTTGGATGGAGTTCAGAGGATAGAAACAAAGTGACTAACTTTGGGATGTTTAAAGAGCATGATATATGCATAGCTTTTTATAAAGCTTATTATAAAGTAGCAAGTAGCTAAAGAAGGATAATCCCTTTCACAAAAATGCATATAGTATGTGTAGTAAGAAGCAATGGTATTACATTTTGAAAGTATAATAATTTGAATGTGTAATAACTTTTCAGAAAAACTTCCTCATGTAGGGTTTTATTAGTGCACACAGCAAACTGCCAAAAAGCTGTCTTTTTGGTCACTAGAACTAGACTGGCCAAAGTAAGGAACAAATATAAAGGGATTGGAAAGTTTGACATTCCCTACCTAATGTCTGATTCCATGTTTTGAACTGGCCAGCAGATGTACTACTCAGTTAGGTCATCCCCCGGCCAAGCTTTGGCTGTTATACAAGAATCTATCTTGAGGAAAAAAAATAGCCTGGGTGTGGTGCTGACGTGTAAAACACAGCAAGCTTGTGCAAGCCTGGAATTTCTACAGCAACTTAGCAAAGCAAGTAGAGAACATGTTTACAGAAAAGCCACAGAAAATTGAGAATATTTCAAGTCAGTGTTGTCCTGATCCCTCGTCTAATGAAATCAGCAGTAGTCATTTCACTTCAGTGGAAAGGATCCTATGTGATACTGCATAACATACAGTGGGATCTTGTTTTTTTCCCTATATGACAATATTTTTTTCTATTCATACATATTTTTTGCTTGCTGCAGGCATATATAATGTGTAATTTTATGTGGGAGTAAATACAAATCCTTATGTACAGCCTACTTGCACATTTATGAATGTAAATATTTTCTTTAAATAACAGCAAGATTTTCAGCATTTCATCCTGAGACTTACCAAAGCAAGTAGAGAACAGCCTAGAAAACATTACAGAAGCACAGTGACATAAATCAATGTAATTTAACCAACTGGTTAACAAGCTTTACTAAAATTCTGTGCAAATTAATAAATGGCAGGCAGGGTTTTGGTGTTTTATTTGATTGTTCAGCTGGGTGTTTTACACTTCTAACTAAACACAGAAATGGAAGTGGAAATGGTTTTCCATCAAAAGAGATTCCTTTAAACTTGTGAAAATTGTACTTATTATAAAGACCGGAAAAGACATTCAGTCAAGTTAGTTTTAAGACCTATTACAGTAGCTTCTAAAGCATTCAGTGTGTACATCAGGGATTGTTGTAGCAGTTTTATTTATCCATACAAAGCTAGACTGATTACTATGGAGTTACTCATGAAACATTAATAAAGCACTATGTTCAATGCTAACATGATTATGGTCTGACCTCGGTGATGGCACAAAGGACAGAGGCAGAAAGTGTCCCTGATAACATTACCCTAATGCTGAGCTCATCAATCATAATCTCCCAGTTTACCAGGAAAAAAAAAAAAAACACGCATAAAACCTTCCACAGATGTGCATCTGTAGTCCTACTCAGCCTCTCAATCCCCACAGACTTAGAGCAGTCCTGAGAGCCAGAAATAGAACAGATCCAGTCAGTAAGTCAAGCATGTTAAATCAAGGCAGGGAACACCACTGTGAAACACTGAAGCAGAGCCTTTATAATAAGCATTCTTTAGTTTTGAAACAAAAGACGCAAGATTGTGTAATTCAAAATTAATTATAACGATACTTTCATTATGGCTTATGCACATATTAAATTACAAATTACAGTGTTGAGTAAAATGCATTCACTATCAATTATATTTCTGAGAGACTAAATGGTGTCCTGTTTTTGTTATACATATTTTGTTCCTATTACATAAGTGTTATTAAGATTGAATTTTCTTTCTGTCTTTGAAATGATTTATTTGTGCTCTTCTGCTGCCAATTACATTTTTGTACAGTTCCCTGGCTATTCAGAAGCATGCATAGTATTTCATAATTAAAAAGCTTCTTGAATAGTCATTAGAAACATCTATTATGGAATCTCTGTGCTATGAGGATCTGGAAGATTTATCTTTTCTCCTCACCATTCAGCAGCAGTTGACATTCCTTTTTTACCCCATAAGCAGTAGATAAGATTTGATATTACTTCCTCAGTAGTAGCTTTGATTTTATTTTGTGTATTGCCAAGGTTTGTTCTCAATGCAATTAAAACTCATTCAGCTAACAGGGGTTTCAGTCTAATTTGGAATTAGCAGGGTTTGGTTTTTTTTTTTTAAACTTTCTATGTCGCTGAATAATCTTATTTACATCTTGAAGACACTCACATAAAGGATCAGTTTCTGTGCAGACATCCCTGAATAACCCAAAGCTGTAGAATGCACTTCTGTGTCAGTTCTATAAAAATATTACTTTGTTTAAATGAACATAGCTAGTTT